GCCACATAGTGAGCTCTGGTTCTTAGCATTATCAGAACTGAAGCCATTCAGACACCTACAGGCAGAATGGGAGTCCAGATTACTTTGAGCTGATTTGGAAAAACTGGTAACTCCAGCGTAGAGGGAACTACTAGAAAAGACAAATATTTTTTTCAGCCTGTACCATACCAGACCGGCCACATTAGCAGCAGCATATAAGCCGAAAGGGTTCGGGCGCGAATCAATCCCTTTTGAGGGATTCGCCTCGCATTCAACTTCCATTCAGGATCGTAGTCGCGAAGTGGATGCGTGTGTGTGGCTTATACAATGGCGTGCGGTGGCCAGCCGATGTACAAGTCGGTGATTTTATCCTCCTAGACAAGGCTGGTACCATTCAACCGACTCCGGAGGTATTGATGGCTTGATTGGGCCAGGCGGAAAACGATCCGAGGTTCGAACTCGTGACCAAGCGTGTAGGAAAGTGCGCCTCTTGCCACTATACCACCAGCTCCGCCCTTGCAGCAGTATGCGAAAAGAAAATCTCCTCGTATAACCAGTGATAATACTCAACCCCATTACTGTTTCCAACCCTCTCAAATTAACGACGACTTCTTCCAAGAATGGTTCCGCACTGCCTATCTGGGCTGTTTCCAAGACTCCTTTTACCTCCCTCCCGCTATGTTCTTCCTGATCTCTTTCGAGGCAGTCAGATGAGTCTGATTTATGAATGCTGAATGAAGGTAACTTGACTACTCTGAAATTTTGTTGCTATGCTGTTATTTTTTAGAAGTTTCAATATGATGAAAGCAGGTGAAGAATGACTATAGGGCAAACATTCTTCATTATTTAACGAAGCTACTTGTCCAATGGATAGTCATAAAATGTCACTTTTATGGGTACGTTGCCATTATCCATCGCTCAGTCCACTTTTTCGCTATCATCAAACATCAAGGCATCGATGGACCAGTCATTAGTTTGAAAGTCCATTTATCATCTCCTTGACGACATCACAGTGCTGGCTCGGTCGCTTTTTGGACCGCCTACTTTTAGGATTTGTTTTCTTCATTGTTTATTACCCGCTTGCCCATGAAACATTTCAATTTCAAAGACAACAACCCGCATGAGTGCGTTGGCAGCACGTAATTAACTGGGCTCTAATTTGAGTCAATTCCCCGTTTCAGCGATCACCCCTTGGAAGCCTTTTTGCGCGTCATCTTTCACCCACTGAAAGTTCTCCTTTTGGTAGCCTCCTTTACTTGTATTCTATTAGATGTACAGCATTTGAAATTAAAATAGGTATTGAATTCTCTGAAACCAGTTTCTTTTGAATTCATAGCTTACAGCATTGGTTTTTTACCAGTATTCTTAGCTTTCTACGTGCACCATATAAGATTTTGAACAAGGCCATCTAGCTCAGTCGTCCTTAATAGCTGAATTGTTCCAAGAAAGTTCCGTTTTCGGGTCGCTCTGTGGAAGGAAGCAATCTGGAGCACTTCAACAAAACTGCCGAAACAGAAACATTTCAGAATCCTCCGATGGAGCCCTTCGAGAATAAAGCAACATATTCATAATGATGAATCTCAAATCTACATTTTTTACGGATTTGCTCCATAGGAGTCCAGGTGGCGGAGAATAGCAAATTTCGGAGGCTTTTCCCAATAGACAAGGGGCAGGGGTTTTTCGCCTATATCAGAAAACTGAAACCTTCCCGAAAGTGGGATGGTAGAAATTCCTGCTAGCCTATGAATGATGTATTAGATCAGATCACGGGCAAAATTACAAACTCTTCTGTTTCCTCTAGGTCAATGAGTCGGTCTTATACTTGTTTTAAGGATCTACATGAGCGGTTATTCTGCTGAGGTATGTGTATACCCAACCTTATACCACAAAAGCACAGTTCACATTGAAATGGTTTCTTAGATTTCTCTCTTGGATGAACCTGTGGTCCCCAACAATAGCCCAGGGGACGCTGTCGGATCAAAAAACGGTCGAGATAGGGCGGAATAGGAAACCTAAAACCGGCTCAGCTGATGTGCACAACTAAGGCTAACGAGTTCTTAGGCGTTATGAGAGCTGTAGAGGTTACATCATCGCACCGGGACCCACACCTTGCACGCAGGCAGCCCACCACAGCCAACTCTATGCAATGGCGCGCACATTCGAATAGCTCGTCCAAAAACCATGCAACTTCCATCGCAACATTCTCGTCCAACTCCTAATTTTATCTTCTTTTTTG